CAGTGACTATGTAAGACTTTGGCCAGAGGCCGTTCTAGGTACAATTTGTTTAAAGTGAGAGTGTTCTCTGTATAGTACTGCTATTGTGCTGCGGTTTAGTCGCTTCTAGCTGCGCTTAAAGCGGACTCCAGTTGCTAAAGAGCAGTTTAGTAAACAGGAAGAGATGTTAGACAGCAGGGCTGTCTTCCAGCGAGCTCTTTTAGGGCTAAGGAAAGTAACTTAAGAAAGTTTGTTAGTTATTATTAGTTTTAGGTAGTGTCTCTCTGTTCTCGCTTATTTTTAGTTATCTTGTTCTTGGCCTAGATGCCAGCCTCTAGTCCCTACTCTAGTTTTAGTAATGAAAGCTAAAGTCGCCTCTCTGCCTTTGCTAGTGTGGAGGAGTAGTTGGATTGTTAGGTAGTTCTCGCGAAGAGTTGCTTTTAGCGCTTGCCTTTCTGTGTTGTAGTGCCAGCAGTATAGGAGAAGGTGATCTGGTGTCTGTACTCTCCCGCAATCGCAGAGGTTTGAGTTTCTCTTTTTCACTCGCTTCAGTCATTACTTATACCATAAACACAGTCGTTTTATAATTTCTACGAGTAATTATAAATATCGATGGAAAATCCATAATAGCGTCTTGCAGTATTAGGAATAGAAGAAAATCAGTTTGATTAAGAGATGAATTCTGGTAACAGGAATCAAAGGTCAAATACTAGTGTTATAAACTTTTAAGACTGAAATTCTCAATACTACCATATATAGTTCAGCCCCTTAAGAAGTAGGAGTACAATGTCCTCTATCAGGTACATATGGTGTAATAACACATTCAAGACCTTGGCAACACGTCGCAATACATGGCTCTTTGACTAGTTGTTAGCTAAGTCTAATAGCTTTGAAAAAGTACTTACGACCACTAGATATACAAATACCAGGGTCACTGCCGCATGGCTGGTTGTTAGGAACACATTTTTTTGAGCCTGACAGTAACGACCCGTATCGCATGTTTTGTTCTGACGCCGTGCTCGAGCCCTGGCTGGAGATACCGAACGAGCATCATTTGGACTAAGGACAGGAGCCTCAACGCGGAGTGGACGTGGATGCCCAAACACTTCTTCGAATCGTTCGTCTGATAGCATAATACGAATGTTGCCAAATTCGTCGGGTCCTAGTCTTTCGCTCTCGAGTATTGCATTTGATCCGTAGACACTAGAGATAATGCCCACTAGAGCAAGAAGGGACGGTGTAACGAACTTCATATTCTGGTATCGGGGCTTGATTTGGTAGGAAATGGAAAGAGCTAGTGAGTCTAAGTGGTTTGAGTTTAACCATGAAGAATGCTTACTTAAGTACAAACAGAGTGGCAAATAATAAAACTGCACGCACTGCACTGCATGCTACCCGGACTAACCTTTCAGGCTCATTCGCAACACAGGCCTTCCTGGAATTAAGACATGCTAGTGAAATCTTCGCCAAGGATGAAACGTATATGCAAATTGGAAGGACTGAGGTTGTCTTATATCACCTGGGTTAGTAATAGTGTAACAAAATACCCTGTGAATAAGTGATGACCAAAATTGGACCCCAAGAAGATTGGTACCCTCCCAGCACGAGATTTACTATCGCATACTCTTCCACATAGAATTCTAGTCGGCAAGCGATCCCTAGTTCATTGCGAGCCCCTCCCTTGAAATCACTCAATTGAATACTGCTGGTATGTAGTATAACTATGTACTGTGGTTAACTGCTATACTAGCAAAAGAATACAGACTTTCCCCTAGCCTTTCATGAGATTCCGAGGGCCTAGAACAATACAGGCTCAAAACAAACTGCCGAGACTATGCTTAGGTGATAGGCACTGTCTTTATTGCGCATAGTCTTGGGGAAAGTGTTCCTGGTAGTGAGCATGACACGACTGAAATTGGAGCTTACGTAGAGCAGACTTACTAATAAGAATGAAACCATTGTTGCTTAAGCTAGAGAATAAATAAGGGGTACAGTGGGTCCTTACTAGCTCTCTTATTTGCTTCTTCGCTAACCTACCCCTGCTATTGTTAAGTACTCTTTCTGTATCCCAACGTTCATATTAACTCACAAATACCTGCCTGGTTCAATAGCAATCTCAGTGCAAAACTTCATATGTATGGCGTTGACATGAAATGCCGAAGCATCTCCTTTTTCGATCCCCTTTTGAAGCAATCCGTCTCGCAAACTCAACCTAGAATTGCGCTCAAATCTTCAAGTTCCTTCACCTACGACAAGGTTGCAGATTAAAACATCAGTACTGTATAGCTCGCTAAAGATCAACGAATCTGATAATACAAATAGGGTGTGAAGCGTGGGACATTGTACAACGAGCAGATGACTGAACCACAAGCGCAGCAGGCGGCCTCATCAATACGGCTGTGCTCGAAGAGCTGGAACAACGCGAATAATAATACAAATCAACATAAGGCGACTGGTTATGCTTCAGATGGCGTTTCTGACCACAACATTCTCAACCTGCCAGGCTCTGAATGGCAGGTTCTGGGAATTTTGACTATCATTGCGTCATTTGTACGTCTGTACCGATTATCCCAGCCCGATAGTGTCGTTTTCGATGAAGTCCAGTAAGCTAATCGTTCCACCCCGTCCATTTTGAATATATACTGACGACCGATTGGTTAGCGTTGGGTTTTTTGCCTCTCAATATCTCAAGGGAGAATTCTTCGTAGACGTGCATCCTCCGTTGGCAAAGTTGCTCATTACTATGGCTGGACAGTTCAGCGGATTCAATGGTAAATTCACATTTGACTACATTGGTCAAAAATATGAGGATGGCGTACCATATATCATGATGAGACTAGTACCTGCAGCTTGCGGGATTCTTGCAGTCCCCGTCATGTTTTTGACACTTAGAGCAGCAGGCTGCCAGGATTTTACGGCTTGCTTGGGCGCTGGACTTGTCATTTTTGGTATGTACACCCTACTTCTCCTCTCCAATTCTGCTAAGATGCTAAGATACACTAGACAATGCCCTTACTGCACAGTCTCGTTTCATTCTCTTGGACTCGCCCTTCATTCTCGCCATGGCTACCACTGCACTTAGTTGGGTCTGCTTCATGAACCAACACGAACAAGGTACAATCAGGTCTTTTACTCGTTCCTGGTGGTTTTGGCTACTTTCTACAGGTGTTAGTCTCGGCGCCACAATTAGCATGAAGTGGGTTGGACTGTTTACTATGTGTTGGGTTGGCAGCTTAGCCCTTGTTCAGCTTTGGGTCCTTATCGGGAGCCCTGATGACATAAGCTTGCACCTATGGTTCAAGCATTTCGCCGCTCGACTATTATGCCTCCTTGTCATACCTTTGTGCCTTTATATTTCCATATTCAACCTGCACTTCGGGTACTTCACCAGTCCGGGTGAGAGTACCACGTTCATGTCCCCAGAGTTTCAAGCTACTCTTAACATCAAGAGACCGGATACACCTGCCAATATTGTCTATGGAAGCCATGTATCCATCCGTCACTGGAACACATATGGCTACCTCCACTCGCACAACCACCTTTACGTCAACGGTAGTAAGCAGCAACAAGTCACGGCATTTCCTGAAAAGGACCCGAACAATATCTGGATTATTGAAAACCAAACTACAATAATTTCCTTTGGAAACATTAGCTATCTTCATTCGCCCAACGTGGGTCCTACTTATATCGAAGATGGTGCGGTGATCCGATTAAGCCATATGAGTACAAATTACTACCTACACGCGCAGGATATCACCGCACCTGTTACAGAAGAGAATGATGAAGTTTCCGCCTATCGCCAGGAGGGGTTTGAGGGAAATAACAATGATCTCTTCCGAGTAGAGATTGACAAGACTCATTCTGAAAGCATCGACGCCCAGGCGCGTTTGAGGGCAATCCAATCGAAGTTCAGGCTTGTCCACCTTGGGAGTGGCTGTCTACTACACTCACACAAAGTCAATCTTCCAAATTGGGGATTTAATCAACAGGAGGTTTCCTGCGCTCATGACAACGCTTCGACAGAAACTATTTGGTACGTGGAGGGAAATATCCATCCCTTCATGCATCACACGACAGAAAGAATCAATTAGCGGAAAAAGAATTTTTTCGAGAAAACTTGGGAGTTGCATAAGGTCATGTGGCAGCACAACGCAGCCCTGATCCGGCCACATCCATGGGCTTCTCGTCCTTCTTCTTGGCCAATCCTTGGAAGTGGCATGAGTTTCTGGGTTCATCACAATCGCCAAGTCTACCTTATCGGGAATCCCGTCATTTGGTGGTCATCTACCGCCGCCATTGCACTCTATCTAGTTATCCATGGCGTAGCAGTCTTGAGTTGGCATCGCGGATTCTTCACCTTTGATACAACTTTCAAGCGACTTGGTTACGAGATTGGTATGACTATTTTAGGATGGGCATTTCATTATTTTCCCTTCTATCTTATGGCTCGTTGCTTGTTTATACATCATTATCTTCTAGCGTTGTACTTTGCTATCATGTCACTGTGCCAAATGTACGACTTTGCGGTCTATCGCTTGAATATTTTTGGTGCTAAGCGGGTAATTGGTCAGATGATTGGTTTTGGTTTTCTGATGCTGGCAATAGTTTTCTTCGCTATCTATTAGCCTCTAACATATGGGAATGTATGGACTTCGGATCTTTGCAACCGTTTCCAGCTCGTTAGAGGATGGAATATTGATTGCGATAAGTTTGACTTGGTACGTTTGTTCCGACCCTTCTCTATTCCCATTCTAACGTATTGAAGCCTGAGTTATCTATTGAGTAGATGGTATGAGCAGTCGCCTAGTCGCCGTACTACTCTTGTTTCTTCATTTGTTCTAGGGCTCACTATGTACTGCTCTAGTGAAGATACTTAAATGTTCTTATTGTACCTGCTCTTCTTACCAAGAACCTACAATCATGAAGAGATTTGCTTTTTTCGCGAATCGAATTTGGGGATTACTATAGAAAAATATATCCAAAAATTTCAGCTGACTTCTATTACCAACCAGGTTCACAGATGAATAGAGCAAACAAGATACGCTATCTATTACTCGTGTCTCGGCGACCGGAGCCTGGACATCTCATAGAAAAGATTGACAGTACTACTACATACTTTTAGACATAGCTATCGATTGAATTTCATCTATTTCTCTAGCACCTACCTACCTTGGCGAGCCTCTTACCATGCGTATCTAGCAACTCTTAGTTTACGGCAGCTTGCAGCTGTCGCCCTGCCGAGGGTACTCCACTACAGATGTCTAAAACAATATAATTTACTCGGATATCTAAAACAGCTCACTATATTCTCCCCATTCAGACAGGGTGATAATCCAACTAACCCGCCTTGTGAAAAATACGATAATCATCTAGTTCAAAGATGCAGTTATCGCATCGTATCTTCCTTCGCCATAGCAAATTCGATCGCTCCTAGCCATCTCTTAGAATAACACAAGATATCAGAATCACCAGTCTTGGGTGCTAGATTTTGGATCGTGTTCAAAGCTGCATATTGCGTTGGATCCCAGGCCTCCCCTCCTACTACCTCACTTCGCTTAAGAACAGAGTACCAAAAGCACTTTATTGCCTTTACCGGTAAGTCAAGGTCTTGATCTATGGATCCGAGGAGGTAAAATTTTAAGGAGATGTAGAAGTTCCATTGACGCGGCTGAGACAGTGCTGTGCGCCCTTGGCATTATAAAATAATTTTTTCCAAATCACTACAAATGGCTTCCGCCTCATAGAGTTTACGTTCCTGGATAAGACGTCGAATAACCGTATGCCAAAGCCATATCCTCGCATAGTCAAAAATCACAAACTTCTGGTCGACTTCTCAAAGGACGGCCCGGATGTCTCCACCACTTTTGCGGTGGTATAGGCTGAAGAGACCTCCAAATGTTGTACGGGGCAAGCTAGCTTGGTTATAGCCATAACATGCCTGGATCCAGTCATGTGGTGTGACTTTTTTTTATCCACAGTTGGCGGCAGCAAGCATCAAAGGCGAGGTACAAGTGTCCAGATGTGTCCATAGGCAATCGACTAATTTCTTGAAACACCTTTTTTCTTGGGTCGTTGCGTTCCAGAATAGTATTGGCCCATTCGATTAGCCCTTCCATCAATACTCGTGCAACATCAGATCTGTCAGAAGTATACAGGATGGCCAAAACGGCCAATAGATCTGGGAACTGTCTGTGGTGATAGGTCTGCACGACAGCGTCGAGTAGTACAAAAGCAGTCTGTATTTTAATCCATACAGCTGCATCACCCCCTTTTTCATAGATTCAACGCTGCACATATCATGTTATGCAGCCTAGTGAGATCTGACAAGCCTGAGATAAGCGCATTGCTTTAAAATATAGACACCTCTTTTATCTATTGTCCATATGCCTCTTTCGAAGCAAGTGTCAAAATGCACGCTCGTGAACCACAGTAATCGCTGAAATGACGTGAAGTAGTCTAGATCAGATACTCTGCTGAAGTTGAACGAAAGTGGGACAAATATCAGATCTTGCGAGGGAAAGCTTAGACCGGACGCGCTTGCTGGGGATTTCCTTCGCTTGCAATATCGTTCCACTTCTCGTATATCGAGAAGAATCCCATTCGAAAGGACCATACATTGACCAGCTCCGCATTCCCTCTCTTCCAGTATGGTCAGTTCCAAACCAAAGTCTGCGGTACTATTGTTCTTGTGAAATCTCATCGCTCGCAAATGCGATTTCCGCTGTGCAATCCTCACACGGACGTGTTAATGGTAACTCTTCCAACCGAACTTGAGATTCACGTCATATTCACATTGGGTTCTTTTCTTTCAAGCAACCCCTTCACTTTGTCTAATGTGTGCCTGTCATGCACGTAGAGCTGAACGATGTCATGGGAAAGGCATCTGAAAATATTGGAATTGGAGATGACAGTAGTATTCATGTTACAATTTGTGGAAGAGCGATCGGTTCTCAAACCAACTATTTGAAGAGACAAGATGGTGTGACTTAATCAATTTTCCATAGCGTTGAGATATCCCGCTCAATGCGTATCATTTTCGATATCCAGGCCTGCACATCTGCTAGCTGCATGAGCCTATGATTTTTGAATACATATACGCCACCCAATTGCAATTTGTCCCAGGCCACCACATCATTGTTATGCGAATGGCTACGGTTTCCCCTCTCAGCGCAGACTAAAACTTTTTTTCGCTTAAACCCCTGCTATGCACTGAATGACTGTCATAGGACCATCTCGTGACGAATCAGATTCAAGTATGGCTTGGCTGTTATTCAGTGCCAAAGTATTTAAGAATGGCTATCTGTCTGACAATTCAGATACAGGTTTCATTGTCTTCGCTACTATGTTGCCAATGACGTACGTCTCATCTTTACATATAATTATAATTCAACAGATTGAATCAATATAGCGTATCGCAAATAACTACGGGAAAATGGAGACAAATACACGCCCACAACCAAGACCTGCTACTTCCGCCTAGAAGCAATATATGGATAAAGTCTGCAATGCAATCACTGCTGAAATTGCTATGTTTTTTTAGAAACAGTAAGCTTACGAACATATGGCGGGATTTTCAACAGCTTCAGCTCATGTTTAGCCTTGGGGTTGACCTCATCATTGTGACCGGCCCTACTGGAAGCGGCAGATCCTCTTTTTTAAAAGCTGTCACCGGGTACAACATATAGATCATCTCAACACTTCAGTATGGTACGGCTACTTATGTCAACCATTGTTTAAAGACTCGCTGTTCACGCCGATGAACGCAGCGACTCGGCAGACTGCCCTTGTTCTGACGTGTATCAAAGGGAAAAAGTACCTTTTTCTTGATATGCCTGAATTCGATGCCGCAGATCTTGACGACTGTCAGATATCCACCATGCTGACAACCTCTATGGCCACCATTAAACAATATGTCAAATTTCAAGGACTCATATGTGTTAACTGATTTAACAGCGTTCGCGCTACAAACCGGCAGTAAAAATATCAACATGGGTTTACCAGTTTTGCGGACCTGGTTACATGGACAATGTAATCATTGTGACTACCAAATGGGATATTCTGGCCGATGATGCAGTAAGTGACAATTTGGACCGCTATGAGAATTGGACACGGGACGCTGCACTTGAGCCGCTAGTATCCCACGGTGCTCCGACTTTGCACCATGGGCTTGTTCAGGATGCTAGTGGTTGGAGAAAAATCTCCCTTCGAAACCAACGGGACAAAAGTACCAAGCATGCCAGAGCCATGATCTTTGATCATTATGCAACATCGTCAAATGTTGTGCTACAATTTTATCATGAGATTGATCAGGGACATTCGGTTGAAGCGCCATGGGCTAAGAAAATTTCTTGGAATGAGGCCTTCATCACCTCTTCGACAAAACAATCAGTCAAACTCTTCATCTAATGCCGGCACATGTTGGAGACTGGCCAAAGAGGTACAATCATGGATAAGACTTCTTTACAAGGCAGCTAGGGTATATCGAAGCATGTCAACAACATACGATATGGAAACAAAAGAAGGTTGGAACTCTGAATCTGAATTTGATGTTGATTGGCAAGATGATTATTTTTTTTGGATGATGATAGATTACATGTTCTCAATCTGGGCAGCGAAGAGCGAGAAGCTAACCCTTCCCCTGGTTGTATTGTTCTATAGCAAATATGTAAGCGATCCTTTATCTGAAGCACAGTGCCTTCATAGAAGAGTTTTTAAAACGTTATTATTGTAAATTACATACTATCATGAAATGTATAGTTTATCATACACAGTCGTAAGAGACCAAGTTCTTTACTACTAGATATTATCTCTATTGTAAAACCTACATTACTAGCACGTTGGAATCATGAATAGGACAACTATATTGTTTATGCATGTAAACATGGTAGTACTTCTACATATACTAGTTTACATTATCTTTGTCTGAAAGAGGATAGTGAACCGTATTAAAGGCCGTGTCTACACCCGCCAGATTCGGACCACCCAAAAGATCGATTGCCTTTGAGCATGAGTTAGTATCTTCCATGTTTGCCTATTTGAATGAGATTTCGAAAAACTTACACAAGCTAGAAGACTCTTTTCATCTGCACCATCTGCAGTGACGTCCCAGAATGCAAGTCCTCCCACATGGTTGTTCTGTATGGCCTGCTCAATCTTGTAGCTTAGTGACCTGCGGTTCTCATACGAGACCATCATTCGCTTGACTCCATCGTATGAGTACGAAGCGTGAGCGTCAGAGTCCCAGTGTTCCTGAGCGCCAGGCAGTGGTAGTGTTTTTTTCGGAAACAAATGTGGCAACCAGTCATTTTCCAGAATGCCGAAGGAATGGCCAGGTCCTATATTGTTGTAGAAGGCTCGACCGTAGAGGCTGATTCCCAAGTTGATCTTATGCATGCTGATTGCACCAGATGTGAGATAAAGATCGAGAGCGGACTGGACGGCGAACGGTGTTGACGATGGACGGGTGGATGAAACTGTCCAGGGCGCCGAATGCACTGCATGGTTGGCATCGCTCATTTTTGGCGCATCTCCATTGAACCCGTAGCTGTGAGCGTCAGGTTAACGAAAACAGCTATTGCGTGAGCATTTTGCTTACGCCATCATGTTCCAAAAATCAACAAAAGGATCCATCTCCTTCACTTTCATGTTGTCAAAATCACTCGCATCTATTTATGTATATCAGTTTTCTGCCCTAGTTCAAGTCGCCTGAGGACTTACGGATGGGAGCCACAACAGACAAGGTTATCTTATTAGTCTTGGCTCGGGTGGCGTAATCATCGATAGCCTACGCGATCAGGGGGCTGAAGCTGGTCAAATATTTCTTCCATCACTTACCTCACGGAAAGACTTGACTAGCTCCACATAATTGTTTGCGTCTTCGACACCTAGGTAATGCAGTCGTGATTAGCCAAGGGACAATGTGGAGGGCGAATACGGACGGCGACCTACTCTTGGGAAAGATCCAGGTTAGATCGATACCTGGTTGATGTTAGAAGCTTTCAAAGTGGAAAACATGGCGTGTATTGAGTGCTCACCATCCCAACCGAAGTTGTACATGCAGTGCATGCATGTATCTACGAATCTGCGACGGCGCTCAGGCGTTGACACCGCTGCAGACCAGGTCTCCGACAGACGCCAGCCCCCAATGGAGATGATTGTCTTGAGATGGCGGTGACGGCCCTTGAGCTTGAGGATTTGGTTGACATTGCCAAACACATTGTTGCCTGGTAGCGCGGTATTGTCGTCTCCGAACACTGCCTCAACATCGCTGTATTTGTCGTAATGATCACTGGAAACGTTGATTATTGCTCACATTCATTTTCTGTGAGTATCTTACCATTGACCGTCCTCCTTTATGAGGGCGAAACCGTAAATGAGATGAGTGAGGTTGTGGGCTGGAACGTCGGCGGGAGTATAACCCTGCTGCGAGTATGACGCCTTCAAGCGAAGTCAGAAGCTATTCCGTGCCGATTCCCGTGGGAAGCGTCTTACCCAGCTAGTATAGTATCCCACCACTCTTTTCTTCTCTGTGCTCATGGTCGGAATGGACAGGTTATCTTGGTATTTTGCAAGTTTCACTGATTTGATGCAGCACTTGCAATCAGTGGGCGTGAGGTTACTTATAGTAGATATCTGCGGACGCTGCTGTAGTGTCGGCTACATTACGTATTATACCTCGTTGTCAATCCATCCGTGTCTGCACTCTGTATGATGTCCTCTCTAGTGGTGACGTCTCGCAGCTCCTCCCTGTCTTCTCCACATTTCCGTATGCTGCTTTAGTCGTCATTGAGTGTGCTTAGTCCGAAAATCCAAGCCCGTGGGTTGGTCACAAGATTGTGGGATGTGCTCAGTTGGGATCCCCCTTCATGTACGTTACTTGCAGTTGCGATTGTTGTCCGATCGATCGCATCACGGGGACCTCATGCCAAGTAGATTCGGCTCACTAACACGAATCGCATTCACCAGAGGATGCGAGGATCAGGTCTCATCTCGCTGTTTGACGCGTGATAACAATGATGCTGCTCCTGCGATACAGCTTCTATTAGCGAGCAATTACCCTCATATCCATTTCTCGGGAGAGGGGCTTTTGAATGCTGATCCAGCACTTGCCATCCTATCATATGCTTTGCATCGGGGTGAGCAATTAGTTGACTACAACAGTCGTACGTGCATGAGTATGCAATAGTTTGCCATGTCATACATGCAGAGTTTGGCATTGGTCTACGTGTTGCCGGAAACATGGGCCCAAGGGCAACGACACAACTGCACAAAACAAAACAAATTGGCAAGTTGCATATCGTGCTGTTGCAGAGAGCAGAATAACGCCACACACCATCATGACGCCACAGTCTGCAAGTCTGCACATGATCTTGCGAATAAATCAAGGTTTCCTTTTTCTTCTTCATCCTTTTTAGTCAAACTCTACAAGGGTTCAAGCGGTATTCCTGCTATGGCACGATGCGTGACCAAAGCAAAAGAAGCAACTCGTGGTCAAAAACAAGTAAGTGTAGGCAGCCTCTGGGTTGAGTACAGGGCATCTGCCAAGGCGCTATGCCGCATCAAGTAACTAAGTAGTATAAGTAATCTCAGATGCCCAGTCCAGTATGCAGATTTGCGGTGACAAGAGCCGAAAAGCAAACATGCAGCGTATCGCATCGTGCCGTGTGACTGGCATTACCAGCACCCAGCCTCATGACTGGGAATGATTTGAGCGATCAGAAGTACGCCCGACAAAACTGCCGGATAAGTACTATGACTGCACGCTGCAACCTTCACAGGCATTTAGTCTACATGGCATGAGCTGAGAGGCATGTAGGCCGCTTGCAAATGCGACCACTTGGATAATGACGTTGCTGGCATAGATGATTGCTTCTCGTGTTCCACGTATACAGAAGAAACAATAGGGATGAGTTGAGTTGCCCTATCCTGTGTTTACTTCACCCCGTCCACCGAGGACCTCGAGACCCACGAGAGCCTTTAAGGAGCGCCATCGGATCGGAACCACCCGTGCCTTTAACCGCCATCCCGGCCCGTTCCCCGCGCGAATCTTGCTTCTGCCGCCCCTGCGGGATTATTATGTACTGGACCACGATTCTTATATGCTGACTGCGAAGCTCATGCATCGCCCTTCGGCTCTCTAGGACAGCCTGCATAGCGGCTGCGCCATCGGTGGGACAAGCCTCGCCTAGCCGATGACAGGCATCCAACAAGGAGTGGCCCGATCGGATCCTGTGCAGAAATGCCTGGTGAGGTGGCGGCATGTATCGTAACATGGCCTGTGTCATCGACATCAGTTGGGCTACAGTAGATGCTTTCTTGTGCGCACGCGCAAAGTGTCTGCTTACATGCATGAACTCTCCACTAGGTGAGTTGCGGTCGTCCCGTCCAATGAGTGCATCAATGTATTGTAGCAAGGAACTTTGGGCGTTGCTCCCGCCACTGAAGGTTTGATAGTGCTGTGTGTCGTCTTCCTGCTCATAGACAATACCATGTGGCAGTCCTGAGGATTTCATATTGGCGCTTCCTGCCAACAAAGGGCGCAGCTTCCAGTAGAAGATTTGCGGATCACAGCCCTCCCGCATTCGAAGCAGCATGGCCTGCATGGCTCGGACATGGCCGGTGAGTATTTTGGCACAGCCAAGTACTTCCGCTAGAGACAGCTGCTGCATGTCATCAACAAACGGCATAGTGTCATGGAGAAGTTGAGCCCCGAGCCCTTCGATTGCTGTGGATATGCTGAAGAACCATGATTCGTCGGTGAGTCCGGTGAAACTGACGTTTGTTGAAAGGTTTTCGGGTCGCATGACATCTTTTGCATCTCGGAGACGCCAATTCCATAGACAATATGCCGCGAATGTCGCGGTAGGCACCATGCCAAGGGCTTCACATACCGCCAGGTATGGCTTGGAGAGTATTGGAGGAACCTTCTAAGGCCGTGTGAGACTCGGACTGGAGGACTGGGGAGAAATGCAAAGACTTACCTCGCAGGGCTCAGGTCGCTGCCAGATCCAGGCCTGGGTGAAGAAGGACAACAGGACATAAGCCCTCTGCATCTCTCGCCGCTCACGGAGTCGGTCCATGTTCAGGAGGGGCATCTCGAGAACAAGTTGACGAAAAGTTTGCTTCTCAATCGATACTGCTAGATTGCGGGCAAGCCGCTCCCAAGGCTCGTAGTACGGGTCATCGAGGCCTTGTAGAGGCTGTTCTTGGGGCAGAAATCCATTTCCCATCGAGCAAAGCCGCATTGTTCATGAAAGAAGTGATTTGTAGTTTCGCCCTGTCTGAATTTTGGGGATTCTGATGAGAATACTCGTGCTCTTAGAGGCTCGAATGAATAGTATATAGGCTGAACAAATAGGAAGTACAGAAGTGCCAACACACATAATGAGACTAATGCAGGCAAAGGCCTGAGACGCATCCAGCGACTGGATTTCTGCTTGTGACGGCATGTCTAGCGTATACCCAATCGGTCAGTATTCATCGATCATGAGCCCTTAGTAGGATGGGAGAGTCAGATCGCCGCCATGTACTCACTCTGCAAGATCCATGTATCTTGCAGCAATCCGCTAGCTATAAGCAAGACTTGTTGATCATTCGGTCCTTCTGTCACTTTATTTGATTTGTTGCAGAGCAAGTTACCATATGACATGTTGGGAGCAGACATAGTGGCGGCACTACTTCAACTCGCTGCAAGCTTTCACTCCGTTTTCCACCGTAAACGCGCATCATCCATCTGCAGTTGCTTCTTTGGATGTTTCCCCATGAAGCTGGTGATGTAACGTTTGTTGCCCAGCTGCGATCACAATCAGCATACATGATATGCAAAGAAGGTGGATGTGCAACGGCATTCACCCGCTGTACAAAGAGAAATGTCAAGGCAAAGACAAGCACGTTCAGCCAATGGCGAGATCCCAACAATAGCTTTATATTCTGATTACACTCGCTATTACTATTAGCTAACAGTCTCCACCCAGCCCTCTCGATTGCGTTCCCCTTTTAGCATGTCGCCGGCAGTAAGTTCCTTTGCTAGTCCGTCCTTGGTTCCCCTCCGGCGTGCGCGTTCACAAACAGATTGCTCTTCCTTTTCGCACTCCTTGATTGCCTCTACAACCTCGAGCTCCTCGAAGCGTGCATCTTGCAGATTGAGCTTTTGCCATTGTGGGTGCTTTTGGCAGCGCTTCTTTAGACAGGCCGTTTCTTTGATTTCAATGTCCATGAGGTCCACGCCGTTGACGTCTGGTATCGAGGACATCTGCTCGTCTGTGGGGGATAGCGTCGAATGCTCAAAGACGGCACGACCGTGCTTGCTATTGCGCCAAAGAAGGAACTCTGCGTCGGACCAACTCAATCGTGAATCATATCCGCAAAAGTCCTTGATCTTGATCTTGTCGCGATCTGCCAGGCGAACTGCCTGCTCTTTTGCCATGCTGACGAATTTCTCTCGGTCCTTGAGCACCTCAAGCCTATCCTTCAACTGTAGCTTTTCCTTGTGTAAAGCTGTCAGTCGGTCAATTTCACTGGCGGTCAAGGCAAGATCCTCGGCGTTGGAGGGAAACTTTGACCGGGATGGCGAAGCGGTTTGCGGGGGAGTAAGGACGCCAGTACCTAGGTTCTTGAAGGCCTGGATGTTTGGCGATGCGTCGACGAGCGCCTTCAGGTCCTTGGCTCGCAGGGTACCGCCAAGCGGTGTCGGCTCTTCCTCTTCGACTCCGTCGCCGTCTGCCGTCTTTTTCTTCTTCTTTGATTTATCTCTCGCAGCGCTGCTGTTCTTTGCACCCGCTGTGCGTTGCAATTGCTCCGACATGAAGAGAAGACCGCAGTCGTCAGAGCAATACTTGCTTTCCCTTCCCTTGACGAGACAGGCGGGCTTGCGGCAGCCGTCGCGTCTGCACATGGGCTTCCATGTGGTATGGCCTCTTCCACGCTCTTCGCAGAGTGGGCAGATGAATTTGTCGACCAGCTCCTCGTCGGCCTGCTTCATGTTGACACAGTCGCCATGAAACCAGTCGTCGCAGCCTCCATCACAGCCAATCATCCACTTGTGGTTGTCTGGCTTTTTGCAAAGACAATACAGGTTGTGGTCTTCGGACGAGTCGCCGTCGTCGTCAGAGGCATGGGCCTGAGACGAGGTGTCTGGGGCGGGAGAGGATTCGAGGGCAGGGGTGCCTGCTTGGGAGCCCTTCTTGGCTCCCTTGGGCGGGCGCGAGACGCGCGAGGTGGGTGTGACGGAGCGTGTGGCGCCGTCGTCGGCCTCGACCTTGCGCTTTTTGTTCGGCTTTGTTGTCTTTGCGGTGCCCTTTTTGCGCACGGCGGAGGCTCCTGTGGGCGCGGGCCGCTTCTTTGTGGGCATGGGCGCAGCATTGGAGGCGACGGGCGACTGTGTGCTGTCGGCAGCAGGCTGCTGGTGTCGCCTGCGCAGGCCAAGATCGCTCTGCTTGGCAATGTCGAGTGCCTTGAGTGCGTCGGTGTCCATGTCGTCGGGCGTGGCGGGCGTGTGGCCAGGCGGCGTGGCGGCGGGCTCATGCTTGATCCAAGGCTGGGACATGTCTGGCTGCAACGCGCCGTGCATGGGCAGCGGCGTGGGCTCGTGGGGCGCAGAGGCAGGCTCGCCGTCGTGCATGGCGTCGCTGGCATCGGCGTCGCTGGAGCGTGACGAGGGCGGCCTTGTCTGAGATGGGCCGTGGGCGGACATGGATGGCGTTGTTTGGTCGTGGGTGTGGTGGTGCAGGGCCGAGGACAAATTCTGGATGGGGGCAAGCACTGGGGCGGGCGATGTGCGTGACATCAGCGACTGGCGGCGCTTGCGCTCGTGGGGAGAATTGGAGCCATGGTGGTAGTGGTCGAGCGTGGGAGAGTGGACGTGGGGCTGGTCGAGCGGCGGCGAGGGCTCCATGGGCGCATGGTAGGATGCGAGTGCGAGAGTGCTGGCCGGCCGTGGCGCGTTGGAGCGGGCAGGCGGCGGAGACAGGTCGCGCATGGGCGCGGAGGCATATTGCTGGCCAGCGCCCAGCGACGCAAGCGTGGCGAGGGCGTCGGCGGCCTTGTCCGTTGTGGTGGAGGCGGCGGCGGCGGCGGCGGAGGAGGTGGTGGTGGCCATGTCGGCGGGATTGGTAATGGACGGGCGGCGGTCTGGGGCGGCTCCGTGGTTGAGGAGCGAGTCGATGCTGCTCATGGCGGTGCGGGGAGGCGGCTGGGGGGAGGGGGGCGAGGGCGAGGGCGAGGGCGTCAGGCGGCGGCGGCGGCAGCAGCAGCAGCAGGCATGGCGCGAGGATTTTGAGCGACACGGCAAGGGCGAGAGCCAAAGGCGAAACCGGCTGCAGGCTGGCTGGGGACAATGTGGGCACCGCGGCGCCTGGTGTGGGAAACGGAGCCGCTTCACGCAGCTTGGCGCGCGCACAAAGTAGAGGCGCCAGTCAGTGTGCGGGAGGCTGAGGCTGAGGCAGAGGCGCGCCTGCTTGGCTCCTCGCTGCTCCAGTACGTGCTATTGCTATCTCTGCCTTGCTCCCCCATGCAGTAACAGTCCGTCTCCACGTCGCCCGCCCTCTACGCCTCCGCCGCCGGCGCAGCGTTGCTGTGAGCCTCGGCCACGTTGAGCGTCCTCTGGATGCGCCTCTCGAGCTCCGCCTGGTCCTCGCCCTCGCCCGCGCCGTGCATGGCCCGTATGAAGCGCGCGACGCCCTCGCGGCCGACCTCGACCTTGCCCCTCGGCCCAACAATGTAGTCGACCGTCTCCTCGCCCCCGCCCGACGTGTCCTTGACGCGCACAATGTAGCCGTCCTTGACCATGGCCGCCAGCGCCTTGTCCTTGGTGCCCACGGGCGTCGTCTGCTCGGCGTTCATGCGCCGGAGCGCGCGGTCGAGCTTGCCCTCTGGAATCATGCCGCCCGAGATGGTGATGAGGGCAATCGTCAGCGTGTACAGCCCGACATAGGCGTCTTCCTGGTTGATGACGCCGCGCTCCAGCGGCCGCGACGGCCCCATGATTGCGGGCATGCGGTACTGGTCGGGCAGCATGCTCTGCAACACCCATACGCTGGTCGACTTGGTCTGCGAGTCGGCGGCCGAAGCTGCAGCGGCTAGAGGAGGCCATGTCAGACACGATAGAGCAGCCCAGGCCGTTGCGGCGATGCATACCGCGCTTTTGCCGTAGCGTCACCCGTTCGGCCCTCGGCAGCTCGACCAGGTGCATGCCAAAGACATGCATGAGCTGACTGTTGGCCTGGGCAAAGACTTGCTTGAACAGACGCCCATGGGAGCCGAGCACTGGTGCTGTCAGTAAACACGCCCAGTCGAACGGCAATCAAGGCGGCTGCGCAACACAGCCCACCCACGTTGCACTGCACACCTTTTTCGTTGATGTCTTGACGCTTGATAGGCTTGCGTGAGTGCTCACACGACAATGCATACCGGACTAGGCCTTTGGCCATGTGGTCAACACTCTCGATGCCGCCGCCGCCGCCAGCATCGTCGCCAGCATCGTCATGGAAGCCGTCAGTCATGTCCACGTCTGCATCTTGGTCGTATCTGCCTCTCCGCGAAGCCATTGCGCGCGCGAGAGGAGAGGAAAGGCGCGTCGAAGGAGCCAAGACAATGCAGTCGCGTGTCGGGGGCCCTTTTGCTTTCCGCCCCGGGCCGTAATGCCAGTTAGTAATTATGTATTATGAGGGTAGTATGTAAGTATGGATGGAGTAGGTAAGGCTGGACAATGCAGGCGAGGCGCGTCGGCAAGGCGAACCATGGCCCGAGCGTCTGGATAGTTCGTAGCTGCTAGCTGCCAAGCAAATGTACCTATACTGCATCCATCCACACATTCATCCATCCATCCCCCCTCCCCCCAGCAAACACGCCCACGCTCACAGGCACGCATGCACCCGCCATGAGCGCATTCGCAGCTGCTGCAAGGCGGCCGGTTTTCCGCTGTCTAAACAACCCCGCACCGCTTCGATGCCGTCTTCAGGCCCGGCAGAGCTCGCGCTCGCCCGGCTCCGAATTTGAGGCGATGCTCAAGCAAGGCGCCCGTCCCAAAGGCCCCCCCACAGAGGAAGACTTTGTATCGGTCCACCGCGCCGAGGCGATACGCCGCGCTGCCCTCATTCGCAGGAGGAATTGGCTCGCGCTCGGCGCGGCTCTCTCGATGATTGCCCCCATTTTCCTGGTGCGGCTGTGGGATGTGCCACTCGACGAGGACCGAAAGCATGACGACGGCTTGGGTCGAAAAGCGGCAGACTGGGTCGTGGGCCCGCCTACCAAAACAGATGCGCCCAAGAAGGCCGCCGACCAGTTCCAGAGCAACAAGGTCGTCATCGCAGCAGGCGACAAGGTCATTGCTGCGCCAGCCGACTCGCACAACCCACAAGCCTCGGATCCCGATACAATTGAGCTCGTCGAGACCGGCACATCGTACGTGCCCTACTTCCCTCGCACCATTCGGCTGCCTACCGATGCGGCTGGCCCGGAAAGCGTGAGCAGCGACGCCGAATACACACTGCTGGGCCTGGGCATCAGGAAGGTCTCGTTCTTGCGCGTCCAAGTCTACGTCGTCGGGCTCTACGTCAAGACAGCCGACTTGTCCACTCTCCAAAATCACCTCATCAACACGGTCAACCCCACGGCCTCGGCGCTGATTCCAGACGAGAAGAAGGCCCTTCGCGACTCACTGGTTGACGCAGACAAGAGCACCAAGATTTGGGAGGCCATCCTTTCCAAGGACGGCCCAAGTGGCGTGGACATGGCTTTCCGCGTTGTGCCCTGCCGAAGCACAGACTTTAAGCATCTGCAAGATGGCTGGATGCGCGGCATTGCATCGCGGACAGACGAGGTGCGACGGAGGCAGGCTGACTTGCTGAGGCAGCAGGCTGCTGAGAACAAGACCATCGCGCTGCCCAAGCCGGTCGAAGAGAGTGAGTTCCAGGACGAAGCTTTTGGGCTTGCCATGAAGGAGTTCCGCAACCTATTCCAAGGCAAGGGCAAAGCGCCCAAGGGCAGTGTCATTGTCTTGACGCGGAACAAGAAGGGAACGCTTGGCGCATTATACCAGCCCATTGTCAAGGCTGACAAGCAGGAAAACATGGGCAAAGCCACATGGCTGGGTCAGGTCCAAGACGAGAGGGTAGGTCGCCTGGTGTGGATGCTCTATCTTGGTGGGCAGAACGTCAGCTCCGAAGACGCCAGGAAGAGCATAGTGGACGGGTGTATAGATATTGTTGAGCGACCGGTTGGTACGTTGGAGACCATGGTGCATTAGGGTCTGTGTATCATACGCATGTCAAGATGTATGGCGCTTCAACAGGCAAAAGCAGCCGGGCTGGGCCACAAAGGCGTCTGGCCGACGTGTTGAAGCGGTGCATTGCCCTACCAAGCAGAGGCTCTAGACGTGTGCAGTCTCTCTCTCTCTTTTGCTTTTTCCCACCCACGTACTCACCCACTATTTTGGCCTCGAGAGGGATATCTGCAGGCGGCCTGGACCTAAGCCTGTGGGAACAGAAGCGACGATGACATCAACGCCCCCCCCCTCCCCCACCTGTGCAACAAGCTTTGGCGCTAAGCTACTTACTAATGCAAAGCTGCTGCGAGGGGACATGCCATGGGCATGATGTCACCCGCTTCCTCTCTTCCCACCCATTGCTCATCCTTGCCATTCCCATTCCTCTGCCCGCCCCAGCCGGCCTACCAGCACCGACGCCCCGTTTTTCTGCATCCGGCTACGGCTGCGTGTGGAAGTGATAAGCTTCGACTAAGCAGCCATGGCATGCCATGACCGCTGACGTCGCCGCGGTTGGCAGATGCTTGTTGCTGGTCCCTTGCACTTGTCTCGTGCCGTGTAGGCTGGGTGCTTCCCGCGAATGACGGTGGTCCCGGATGCTTACTGCCAAATCATGCCTGCACTAGGTATAGGTCTGGGTATCCCCTCTTCAGCATGAGCCTGACCAGCTGCGGCCACGCTACATTCCTACATTTCTCAACGTGTCGACAGCCTCATCCTGACCCCAAGTCGCCAGGGCACGACTTTGGGCACAAAGCTGTACGAGCGCTTTGCCATCATAAAGATACCGACCATGGCCGTCATATGGGGGCTTGATCTTAATGAGATGCAATGGGCCAAGTTCAAATCAGGCTACATGTGGAATACCGCATACCACAACCGCTGCACAAAGTTCATCGTCTACCAGCTGGCCATGATCCTGTGTGTTGTCAGCGAGAGTCTGGGAACGGCTGCGCTCTCTGGTAAGTCTTAGATGCTCTTCTTCAACGCCAACACTTGCATAAAGCTTTGCGTCGCTCATACTTGGCAGATTACGTCGACCAGCAAAAGTTTGTTGCAAGACTTGACAGCAATGCCACTGTCCACAACAACAACTTTGTCGGTATTGCCTCGTACAACATCTTCGTCGGCATCTTTGTCGCCACCATTTTCGGTGCCGCCTTCTTCTTCGACCTCTTCTGGCCGGAACGGTTCGAAGCGCCAGGCGTCAAAGTTGGGTGGAAAGTCTGCTCAGTCCTGGCCTGCATGCTTACCCTTTCGTGCGCTCTGGCATACACGTACATTGTTGCAAGTCAGAGCGCGTATGTAACGGGTACGAATTCTGCAAATGCGCAGCGGCTCTTGGCCATGTACGGAGGAAGCCCGCTGAAATACAGCGAGAACGGCCGAGCCATTGCCAGTGTCGTCTTCCTGTGGCCTGGCATGATCTTCACGTTTGTCAGGTAAGACGCCGGTTTGGGCAATTGTCCCGTCGTCGACTTAATCTTACTAATTCGGGGTCCAAGTACTTACCTTGTTTGGCACTCGCTGGCGCACATCGATGCCTACGGACCGATGTCTAGGCATGCGCGCTCGGAAAAGCCGGTCGATCGGAATAGTGTTGCAGATTCCAATGGTCTGGATGGCGCCACAGCCGTCCAACCGCCAGCGCAGGCACATGTATCGCACGACAATGTTGTATAGGGAGGGCATTCGGCGCATGTGTCAGATGCGGCTGATCAAACCTCTTCTGAACAAGGGATGGAACTGCAATGCATGAGTCGAGTTTCGCGGAATTGAGGAAGAGTAAAGGCATGCACCTTGCGAGGTGGATACGGCGTCGTGGGTCACCCATAAAAGGATATAATGCGGCGTTGAGAAATTGTGCGGCACGAGTCGATTGCTGCGTTGCACCTTTGGTTGTTGGTACATGAAAGGATGATACCCATTATTCGCAGAAAGTAGCGGACATGCTAATGAAAGTGTTGTCACTATGCAATGTTACACCAAGGGTCCACCAGTCAAACTCGTGGGGAACATGTCATGTACCCCACGCCAGGCTATGCAAAAAAAAGAAAAGAAAAGGAAGAAGACATTACATGAGTATTATTGCCAAGTGATGATTGGGCCCATGAAAGGCATGTGATGATAAACATGATAGCTTTGTTGTTTTGTTCTGATTGGCAAGAGATGCAGCTCCGAGCGTCTTGATTGGACATGACAGCATGGACGAGTGGGTGGGAAAAGAAAGGAACAAAGAAAGTTGGAAAAGGAAGAGATTACCAAACGTGACGACGTAGACGGCGACGATACACACACATGTGTCGGAGAAGCAAAGAAGCTGGTTGATAGGGCGGAGCAAGATTGTCTAGATTGCGCGAACCTGGTTCACAGCCACCCCCCCCCCCCACGCACACATGGCGGGCACCTGAGACGCCGCAAGCTTCCCCCCCCCCGTGTTGAGTGTCGAGTGAAGAAGAAAAAAAAACACAGGAAAAGAAAAGGGAAAACAAGTAAGTAGCCAAGGAAGAGTAATCAGAAAATGAGAAGATGATTAGGCAGGCATGGGTGGTGGAGGAAGGGTGTATACTACATGTAGAGAGGAGGTTGATGACGAAAAGGAAGAAGGAACCATGGACGCCAGCCGCAAGCCGCAAACTTTGCCACTGGACCAGGACTGGGACTGCGTGGGAAGGGCCCGATAAGCGAAGACGACACGCTGATACTGCACTGATGCTGATGCTGATGCTGTGCTGATGCTGATGCTGATGCTGATGCTGATGCAGTGTTAGTCTTTGTACCAGTGCCAGTGCCAGTACGTGTACCCTTTGTCCATGTATAGTAGACTAGGTGCGTGCAGCAGGGTTCAAGCATCCGCTCGCGGCCATGTCCCGCTTATCCACCCTAGTGTAGACCGACGGGTATATGCCTACATCTATGAGCTGAGACACCCAACTCCCCCCCGATCGTCATGCCGATGACAGACCGATGATTAGCTTGCCCTTTCCCCCCCCCCCACCCCACCACTCCAAGCTTCCCTCCGGGCCGGCGGTGGCGTGGTAGTTGGTTATGGTAGTGATGATGATGGTGGTGGTGGTGGTGGTAATGGTGGCGGGAACGGGAAATGAGATGGGATTGGCATAGTGGGCGGTACTATGTGTGTGTGTGTGTGTGTGTATGTGTGCTGCTACACTCAAGACAAGACTGGCTGGCCATGAGGCTTCGACGGGGTGTCGCAGAAAAAGGCGCGCGCGCGTCTTTTTCGAACCTACTTGCATCCACCCATCCACACGGGATGCTAATCAATATGGAGGGGGGGGGTGGAATAAAAGAAAAGTATAATTTTGTCGAAAAGTAGAAAAAAAAATCGAGAGGTTGGGAATGCGATTGCGACAGGTGGGTGGAGATAGGGTAACAGTAGGTGTCCCTACACCTAGAGGCGTTTGCGATGGTTACATGCACATCGATTCGCGCCCATCATGGACATAGTCTAGATGCAGTAGGTGTATTAGGGCCGGCAGCGACCGTGTTTGATTCATTCACACACACACACACACACATTTGCCTCCATGTTCAGCCATGACCCTTGTAGTGCGGATGCTGGAGTGTCTTACCGCAAGCAAGCCAACCAAGCAAGTCGACTCGATAACAAGCATGCATTAATCTGTCTGAATTTTTCTGTGGCCGTTTTCTTAAATTATATGCTATAGATTGTATTGGATTTATTTTGGGTAATGGATAAAAGTGGACGGCCCATATGGACAAGGACAGGCACTACACAGACGAGGCGAAGACACGGCCACGGCCACGGACGGCGAACGGAAACGGGCAGGGCAGGGCAAGGCAGGGCAGCCCTATGGGTCAGCAAGCAAAAGAAGCGCCGAAATTGGGCTTCCAGAAGCGCGTTCGCACATCATACACACGGTCGGAGAGGCTGGCTCCGTCGCTCCCAATACCATGCTCCATGTTGCTCTTTTTTTTTTCCTTCTCCACGTCTCTGCCTCTGTCTGACTCTGCCTCTGTCTCTGACTCTGTCTCTCAATGATTTGTTTACCTTTGACATGGAAACATGGCTCATGCAGAAACAAAGGCCATGTCACTTCCTCCGCCCCCCCCCCTTCACCCCTCCCAAAAAACAAAAAAGGTATCAAAAGGTAGCAGCTAAAACTCGGCCACGATGATCACGGGCAGGTTCCGACGTCTCTTTTTCCTCTTGGACCCTGTCCGTTGTTTCATTGTCGACAGAGCTAGGTTTGACGTGTGCACAAGCCCGCCCCTTGGTCTCTCGCCCCAAAGCAAAAAGAAGAAGAAGAAAAAAACCCAGCCATGCGTGCTGCGCCTAACTTGTCGCGAGAAAGCGCGTGTTTCAGCTCGCAACGGCGTCCCGATCCAAGACTAGCGTTTGCAGTTCACGGCTCCTGCGACTTTCCGCATGCGGCAGCTGGCCAAGGGGAGGAGAGAAAGGGTGCTTGGCAAATCGAGGCCGAGAGACATGGGCCAGCGTAGTGCCGACATCGCGTGGAAGCTATGCCGCGTGGTCGAGTGGCTGGCTTTGGTTCCCTTGGGCCTATCCATCCACGGCGTAGCGCTAGCCTCGTGATTTCCCGTGTCCGCGAAATGAGCTCTCGTTGCTCCCCCAGCCACGCGCCCGTGTCGGTGCCCATGGCCAATCTAATCAATCATAATAGGGCTGAGGAAGCATTCTGCAAGGCCGGCACATGGCCAGTCGCTGTCAGTGCTGCTTGCATATTAAGTATTTCACCCATTTGTGCAAGGACATGTGCCCCATGCCATGCAGCCCACAAATTGCCCGTGAAACAGACAAGTCGCGGTGCATGACATTGTGCTCGTGTCGTCCTGCTCTTTCTCTTTCTCTCTCTCTCTCTCGTCGGGCCCGCCGGGAGACGGGCGCTGTAGATCTTGGCTCACGGCTTACGGATAGAGGAGCGAGGGAGCGAGACAAAGAGAAGTTGGATTATTTGCATTTCATCGTGCTCTGGACCTTGTTGTGTCTGGTGTGCCCGTCAACAGGGACCGTCTCTTTGGACCATTGGGCTGAAATTTAACCGCTCGGGCTCATCTTGTTATATGTAACGCACCACACTAGGCAGCACTTCAGGGCCACCAGTTCAGACCGTCCGCCGATCAGCCATGACCCTCACGATGGAGCCTGGGCCAGCAATGTCCACAAGCTATCAGCGGTTAGTGCAACGGCCTCGAGCAATGGTGAAGGGCGCGACAAAGCTTACCTTTTCGTGCCAGCTGAGTAATACACTCATGGCCTGGCCGCCGCCTTCACCACCGCCTCGGCTATGGATCTGCGAGAAGCCTGTAGGCTGGGGCGTGATGTTGCGCGTCGTGTTGCCAGTTGGATTCGACTGTGCCATGCCCTTGTAGCTGCACAAGGGAGAAGAAAAGTAATCGAGTCAGCCTCTTGGTGCACATGGTGCAGCCGTGCTTGTGTCTCCAACGTACATGTACTTGATCAATACATCGAGGGCCTCTGTTCCACCCGGCGAGCTGTAGATCCGGCTGAGCATGGGCGACATGTCGGATTGGCGTATCGACTGGAGAATCTCGACAACGGCAGCGAGGTGGGCCTCCTGTGTGACAGGCAAACGGGTCAGTCAGCGTGGATGCCATGGGCGATGCAGGGCAGCCAGAATGGCGGGCGTACCTTTCCCTTGTCGTCGGCGCCATAGGGCGGGTTCACCAATGCGCCCTGCAGCGCGCCCTCGTTGTCGCCGCTGCGCAGCAGTTGGCGTATCTGCTGGGCATTGTTCTGCACGTCGGCCGTCGACACGGGCGTCGTGGTGGGCGCCAGCGAGCTCAGGTCAAAGTTGGCGGGGCTGTCGGGGTCGAGGGCATCGATGTTGATGGTGCGCCAATTGACGTTTGCCATGGTGGAAGCTGCAGCGGGGTGGTTTGCGTCTTATGAAACAGGCGATGAAGAGGAGCTTGCGGAGGGCGTGGGATGGTGGGATGGTGGGATGGTGCTGCGGTGACAGGTCGAGACAGCAAAGGCGAGGTAGGCTGGGGTGGTGGAGCTGCGGTGAGCTGGTCGCAATTGGACACGGCGACTTTGGTGGGGTGGGTTGCAGTTGCCACGCCATGTCTCCACTCTTTGGCACAGCACAAGCACAAGCGTGGCAGCCACCAAACCCCCCAGCACCACCAGCACCACCGGCACCAGCACCAGCACCAGCGCCTCAAGACCGTGAAGCGGCCGCATCCATCCATGGGCCGGGGTTCCACGGGAGCGGGTCAGACGCATCATGGCTCAGCCTACTACCAGCCAAGCAGTCATCATCACCATCTTCATCAACATGATGAGTATTACTATTATCATTATTATTACTATTATTGTTACTATTATCATGGCTATCATCACGCAAAAAGGCAGAGGCAGCGAGGTAGTGGTGGTACACAATGTTGATTAGTCTAAACTGAAGCCAATAGTGTCGTGAGACACCAATCCCAAAAGCCCAGGCAATCTTTCTGATATGCAAAACCGCCCATGACGGCCAATGCATGCCGTTCGTAAAGAGCGTTCCAGCGAACGCCAAATCGTCGCGCAGTTATGGCACATCTAGAGATGCCATCAGGGCCCCCAACGCGCTATAGTAGTACAATACAGTCCATGGCCTGGAATGCCACTGAAGGCCGAGCCATGGGATTCTACCCGTGTATGTCTCGCCGAGAATCAAACAAATAAAACTGCCAAAGAAAATGAAAGGAAACAAGCCAAGTCCGTTTTTAGGTATCTATGCCTGGGCCCAACCGAGTCTATAAGAACGCCGAGTGAGAAAGAGGAGAAACTTTTTTGCCGTAAGGGAAGGTCGCTGAACGTGGGACGCAGGTGAGAAGGTGAAGAAGAAGAAGAAGAAGAAGACGGAGAAGAGTGGCGGAAGTCGCTCGATAACGCGGAACAGGAACCGTAAAGGCGGGGGTATTAGGTTGCTGCAAGAATCGGAAGGATTGCGGGTGATTAAAAAGGCGTAATCTCGATGGAGCTCGATGGAAGCGGAAGGCGCCGTGGCCAGCGAGCTGCTCGGTCGTAATGGCGTTGGCGAGCGAGTGAATGTAGACTGGAGGGCTGGCGTTAGCGGCTGGTGGTGGTGGTGGTGCAGCGGCATTGGCAGGGCGCATCAACTTACGAGAGGGAGAGAGGGTGTCATTCCGTCGCGCCCCAACAGGAGCCGAGTGCCAATGAAGCGACTGCGTGACATGGAAGCCATGGCGGCAGAAAAAGCACGCGGCGAAGAGAAAAAGCAAAGGTCCGTTGGGATGCGATGACAGTGCGGCTTTATTTGGGCTGGGGTGGCGACGTGGGCTTGGGTGTGCCGGTAGTGTCGTAGGCGCCACGGCCCATGTTGTTGGACTCTGACTCCCTGAAGATCATTATGGTGACGGGTGCGCCGTGTGCTGTGTGGGCGTTAGCAGTCTGTCGCACAATCGTCGCAGGCGGCGCGGGCAGCGGCGCGGGAGGAGCAACACGCACCGATTGGGGAGAGAAGGCGGTTTGAGAGCGGTCGCCGAACGGGCGGCCTGTGCTGGTCGTGGGAGAGAAGGGACGAGAAGGAGCGCCCGAGTCGGTGTTGTCGGTGGTGGCCGGGGGGGTGTGAGAAAGCGGGCGCGGAAGCGGCGGTTGCAGTAGCAGCCACGGGCGAGGCGGAATTACAATGGGTGGTGACTGGCGAGGAGCTCCAGTGGACTGGCCGGGCAGTGGGACTGGGTAGAGAGAGAGACGGAGAGAGAGAGGAAGAGAGACGGGGAGAGAGAGAGAGGAGCAAGGAGTGTAGATAGCTGGAAGGGTGAGCGAGGAAGGTGTGCGGGTGGCAGGAGCAGCAGCAGCAGGCCGGCAGCCTTCTATATTCGCAGGTGGAATAAGGGGGCCTGTACTGACTTGCCAGACGTGGCCTTGGCTTGTCGGCGAGACAAATGAAATGAGCGACTGTGCTTTTCAGGAAGCAAAACGCCCTGACTACATGACGTTCCGGGAGCGACGGGTCTTTCGGCCTGTTTCAAGGTAGCTCCCTTGGCCGCGCAGGTGCAAGAGCCCGGGCAGGGAGCCAGGGTGATCTGCGCGCTGAATCCACGCTGATGGTTATGCCCCTGTCGTGGCGGCGCACTAGAAGCCCGTACCTGCAGCGCTAGGCGCGAGCCACGCCAACGGCTTCACTGCAGCCATGGCCGTGGCCTGTCGGCGTACCATGTCGTCGTCGTCGTCGTCGTAGTCGTCGCGCCGTGCTGGCCGCAGCAGAGCAGCAGCAGCAGCAGCAGCGACGCCCGCATCCTGTGTGCGGCGTGCAGTGTGCTGCGAAGCCTGCCTACTACACTAACCAACGCTTACGCATCGACTGTCGAATGCATATGCATGCACTGCCGTGGCCGTGGCCGTGGCCGCTGCCCGCCGTCGGCCCAACTGCCCCCCTCCCCTCGCTGCCCTCGCTGCCCTCCCTCTCCCTCCCCGTCCCCGTCGCCGCACGCCCTGCCCGACAGCCCTGCCCAGTTCAGTCGTCGCCGCCCTCGCCCTCGCCCTCGCCTCCTCGACCGCGCGCGCTTCAAACAGAGCCCAGACGCCACGCCCGCCGCCGCAGCATCAGTCGTCCTGCTCCTGGCCGCCAGCCGCCCATTGACTCGCCGCGCCGCCCATTTTTTTGTTGGCTCCAGAAGCAACGAGAGAAGCTTCACACGCCTCACGGGCGTTCGGGAGTCCTTCCCCGGGTGCGGTCCGCGGCCTTTTTCCTGAATCAATCAATCAATCCAGCAATCAATCAATCAATCACCCACTCGCTACTCGTCGCTCGCTCTTATTATGGTTATTTTTTTTTCGCAGCCCTGGGGGGGTGCATGGGCGTGCCAGTGACTAAGTCAGTGAGAGAGAGTGTGTGAGAATGTGTGTGAGCGACCAAGTCAGTGTCAGTGAGTGTGGCCGAGGCGAGTGTGGGTGAGTGGGTGAATGCATGCAGAATCTACCTATGTACGGAGGTGCCTCACAAAAGTTTTGTCCTGCCAAGAATAATTTAGCCGAAATCTGGCCGCTCTCCTACACAACGCCTATCTCT